GAGGAGAGGAGAGGAGAGGAGAGGAGAGGAGAGGAGAGGAGAGGAGAGGAGAGAACCTTTACCTGGGGGGCATGGATGTGGGGTGGAAAAGGAATGTGGGAGTTAATTCATTATGCTTCTAAAGCTGACATTGCTTTTCCATGCTGTTCTCACATTCACATTGAACGCTAAAAGTCTGGACTTGAATTAAAAATTATATTTATGGCATATCTGGAAAGATACACTGTGAGATTGGCCAGTCCTTTTCTATTTCTAAGAATAAGAGTAATGATGGAGATGGCTTATCAGACATTAAAACATCACACGGCTCTAATCGGGTAGTGCAGGGGTCATCCAGGAAAGTCAGAGCAGCGGAACGGTGTAGGAAGTCCAGAAGAGAACAAAGTATTTGTAAATATTTTAGAAATGTTGAAATGTTTGGTTTATTTATGAAATAATGACAGAACAACTGGTTATGCCTATGAAAAATAATGTAAAATCCCTAATTTAGGGCCAAATTAAATATTTCCATGATAAAAATAAATTTAAAAGAAAATATATATGAATATTTATATGAGGAGGTGAGAAAGGCTTTACCAGCTATTATTCCAAAACCACAACCATAAAGAAAAGCATGAATAAGTTGGATTTTAAAAAATCCTTTCTATCAAAAAAATTGTCAAAAATAAAATTAAAAGACAATAAACTGGGATAAAATTTGCAGTCTACGTGACAGCAGAATTAATACCTTAATATTTAAAGAACGCTAATAAAATGGTGTGAAAATGAAAAGAATCCTGGTGAGAAAATTGGCACAGGATGTCAACAGGAAAAATTAAGAGTTACAAATATATAATATGTATATATGCTATCTATGTGTGTGTGTATATGTATTTATATAAATAGTTCGATTTCACTAGAAAGATTTGCAAAGATGAGAAAAAAAAAGCTATGTTGGCAGGATTGTCAATTGGTACAGTATTTCCAGTAAACGATTTGAAATCATGTATCAAAATCATACAGTCTGACCCATACATTCCATTGCCAGGCACCTATCTGATAATAGTACAAAACAATGTCCACGGCACTGTGGTTTATAAGTTCAAAAATGGAAAATAACCTAAGCTATTCAATAATTAGAATTGCGTATTTGAATTATGATACATTTTTACAATGAGTTTACGCATTCATAAATAATGAAAAAGCACAGGTGTATTTTATGACATAGAAGCTATTTCTCTTCCATACCATCAGCTCCATGAATGCAGGGCCTCTATCAGTTTTGTTCACTGTTATAGATCTAGGGCCTGGAACAGAGCACATAGCAGGCGCTACATAAACATACTCGTATGTACAGAGAATGGTTGTTAAATGTCGTAGGCAGAGTTCTAAGATGGCCACTGACTTTTGTCCCCAGTGGTACTCCCATGATGTTACATTACATAACAAAAGGGATTTTCCAGTGTAATTAAGGTTACTAATCAGTTGAATTTAAACTAGGAGAGATCATCCAGGTGGATTTAACTCAATGACAAGAGCCCTTTAAAAACAGAGGGATTTCTCCAGATAGTAGCAGAAAAGGCAGTTAGGGAGATTAGAAACCTGAGAGAGATTCAATGTAAAAGAGGTTCCCCATTGCTGAAATGGAGGTCCCACTGCTGTGGACCTGCGAGAGCCTCTCGGTGCCGAAAGGGGTCTCTGGCCAGCACCCAGTAAACAAACAAGATGCTCGCCCATCCTGCTTACAAAGCACTGGCTTGTGCTACCAGCCTGAGTGAGTTTGGAGGCAGGTCCTGCCCCAGGGTCTGCAGCTAAGAGCCCAGACCCACAGACACCTTGGGGCCACTAAGCAGAGCACCCACTGAGCCTGCCTGGAACCTGTAAAACGTGATGTCAATGGGTATTGTTTTAAGGTGCTAAGTTGTGGCAATTTGGAATACAGCAGTAGAAATCTAATCAAGTAAATAAAGTAAGCAGGCTTCAAATCAGTACTTACAACACAATTCCCTTTTTGTTGATATATGCACGTATTTATGAGTTTGCATAAGAAAACTAGCCGAAGTCCCTACACTGTGATGTCAGTGGTATACTCAGTGGGCTGTTTTTGTTTTGTTTTGTTTGGGTTGGAGAATTGAACTAAATTGTACAGAATTTAACCACTAGACATCTGGAAAGTTTGATAACCCATTATTCTCATGGGCTAAATTGCTTGGAATAAACTTGGCCATTGTTTAAGTCCTTCTCGAGTGTCGCCTCACCACTGCAATCAACCCCTCTCCCCCTGCTTTTGTTCATAGAACTGTAGCTCTGGCTTTGAGATATGAAAAATCAGGGTTTGAAACCTAACTTCACTACCTATGAGCTTTTTACATTTGGATAATTTAAATAACCTCTATAGCTTTTCTTTCCCCAAATATGAGATGTGAATGAGAACAGTCACCAGGTAGGGTCATTGTGAGGATTCAGTGAAAGGATAATTGCAGAGCAGACAGTATCATAGGGAAATCATAGCGGCTAGTACAATTATTACTGAGCTCCTGGTACACTGCACGGCAGGTGCTCACTGCATCGCACCTCGTATTTATCAGAAGGGAGATGCTATAATAGCTGCCTTTGGGTCTTTCCCATGGCCCTTCCGTAAGGACCTCTTAATATTCTCAAGTGCCTAGCACAGTGCGTGTGGCACCTGCCAGGTGCTTAGTAACTTCTGGTTCAGTTGATGCATGAAAGAGTACAATAAATGCTGTGAAAATTGAATGATGGGCTCATGAGGCAATGCAGACCGCAGTAACGCAGGACTACCACAAGATGTCAATATAAATAGGAAATCTGGGCATTTCAGGAATATTCTGGATAACCTGCCCCTTCCCTCTCCTAGGACTGCAGGGAAGAGGCACAACAGTGATACTGTAAAGGCAGAAAGCCCACTGTCAGGGACATGCACACCTTTCTCCTATGTCACTGTGGCTCAACCCTTAAAAACACAGCTCCCGCTTGACAGAGGCAAGTCTCTCTGGGGAACTAGGACCCCTAAACCCAGATCCGGAGATCTCATCTGAAGACAATACCGTGTGTGCGCGCTTTGTCCTACCCCTGACTTCAGTCTACATCTCTGGGCCTCGGTGGAGAAGCGAGATGGTCACGATTAACACGCAGACTCAAACACTGATTTCACCACGTACCGTTTGTATGTCCGTGCAAGTTTTTCAAACTTTCTGAGCGTTTTTCAAACTTTCTGAGCTTTGTCATGTGAAAAAAAAAAAGGAGAAAACGAATATATAGAGATTACAGATATACTTGTCGCAGCCATAGAAATTTAAGCAGAACAGTATTCTCTAAAGACTAGTTCCCAGTGTATCCTGGAATCAAAAGGAAGGACTTTCTTTGCAATTCTGGAAGGATTTGGCCATTCAGCCCACAGCTACTTGGCCCAGAGCGTTCTATCGAACAGATCCACAGGTTTTCTGAATAAGGCTTACTTTGACATGTCCCCCCACCCCCCACAGTAAGTTTCCCTTTCAAAAAACACACTCTATTGAGCACAAAAATTGCTCCTCACCAGACTCTAAAAAAGGGTACGAATGCCGTTGTCTCTCTGGCTTCCTGTGGTGTCCATAAAAATCTCTAAGCAGAGTATTCTGGGCTCGTAAAAATGTCCACAGCCCGTTTCTCATCCGCCTTAATGACGTTTCCTAATGGCTGACATTGACATTGGCATCTTTTCTCTGGGGAAAGTGTTGTGCGACTAGCGTTCCCCTTCCCCAAAATAGATGGTAGGAACAGCCCGGGAGCTGGAATGCAGAGCAGCAGTTTTTCTCTTCCCACGAAGAGCTGGATCCTCCAAGATATGGGAACCCTGCCTCACTTCCTGTGGCAGCTGGCAGAGAGTTCCCATCGCTTCGGAAGAGAGTCAGAACCCCGTTTCACAAGCTGCAGGAGGAAACAAAGATATAGAGAATGAAGAAAATGATATCACTTCGCGTCGATTATGTGTAAACGAGGCTTGACGAGCTACGTTTTATAAATAAGAAAATCTTATTTAGAAAAGCGCATTATTTTGTTCAAAATATGTGATCACTTCACTTGATCAGGCCACTCCAAGGATGCTAAGCGGGGAAGCAGTCATGGATAGAAACTGGCCTAGAGATAGCATCAGCCTGGTCCACAGGGCTGTGATGAGATGGTGAGGGTGGACCGTAGGGGGAGAAGGCATGTCACACAGAGTGCCTTGAGAATTCAGAGAAGAAGATGTCAGCTGTGAGGAGGGGCTGGAAGCTGGCTGACTGGAGCAGGACCTGCCTTTCCCACCATTGCCTGACCCCTGCTCTGTGGAGTCTCGCATCATCACCCACGTCCGTGGGGCCTCCTGGAGCTAGGCAGTGCTGCAGATCTGAGCAGGGCTAGGCTTTTCCCTCGTTCTGGGGACATAAGGATGAATAATGTCCAGTATTGTTCTCC